ACACTTAGCCTACATTTAGCAAATGGTGGTAATAATACTTTTCATCTCATTGGATTGTCTGAGGGTGTAGTTAGATAATATGTGGAACTATATAAGGTGATGCCTGAAACACAGTGGCTCTAAAAGACTTAGCTATTTGTATTGGTATTGTGCCTGTAATAACATTCATTACAATGAATAATAATGACACATTTCTTTTTTCTAATTTCTTTTATTTTTAATTGACAATACATATTTATGGAGTACAATATGATATCTTGATACATATTTACAATGTGGACTGATTACATCAAGCTAATTAAATCTATCATTTCATATATTAATATCAATTTTTATAATAAAACATTTAAAATCTACTATTTTAGCAATTTTAAGATATACAGTACATTGTTTATTATAGTCACAGTTCTGTGCCGTAGATTAATAAAACTTATTCCTCCTTTTTAACTGAAATGTGTACCCTTGATCAACATCTTTCCCTCCTCTTCCTCTCCCCCTCCTCCCAGGCCCTCTATTCTCTACTTCTATGAGTTCAACTTTTTTCAATTCCACATATAAATGAGATCACACAGTGTTTGTCTTTCTGTGCTCGACTTACTTCAATTGGTGTAATGTTTTCCAGGGTCATCATGTTGTTTCAATTGACAGAATTTCCCTCTTTTTTTAAGGCCGATTAGTATTGCATTGTCAATATATGCTATACTTTCTGTATTCATTCATCCATTGACAGACACTTAGGTTGATGCTTATGAATGATGCTACAATGATCATGACAGTGCAGATATATTTTAGGCAAACCGGTCGAAATTTATTTGAATATGTAAGCAGAACTGGGATTGCTTGATCACATGATAATTCTATTTTCAGTTTTTTGAGAAATTTTCATACTGTTTTCCATAATGGCTGCATTAATTTACATTTCTACCAAGAGTGCACATTTCTGTCTGGACTCAGACAGAAAAGAGCCTTTCTTCCTCTATCAGTTTCTGTCTCCATTTACACTCTGCATCCCACCATGTCCCACCTTCTTCATCCACCTATCTGTCTGTGTGCACATGCATTGTTCCTTTTGTCAGACACTCAGAAGCAGTCATTTCTCCATGCCTACCTCCTCCTCCTGTCCCATAAAACCTTGAGGTATCTCTTGGTCTTGTTTGTCCCACATCTGGGCTGCTGAAGGTACCTAGGAGCCATCATTGTGTTAATTGGTACCACCAGAGATTGACGGTCTCCCTTTCTGGTAGTTCCTCAGACTGCACAGTCAGCTGCATGTTTCTGGCCAACCCCTCCTCAGCCTCTTGGAGCTTGTTCCAAAACTTTACCCTTCTCCCCAATCCCATATCCCCATGTGAAAGTCTCAAAGGCATTTCAGAATCATCATGCCTAAAAAGGAACTCATGATCTTGTCCGCGGCTCCCACTTCCCCAGTTGTAGTGACTGGCTCTGCCATCTGGAAAATTGAGAGAGTAGAAAAAAAACCTCACACAAAACCTCAACATTTTAACCCAGCCGATCACTGTGAAACCCAACCTCCCAAGTTCTCTCCGTTTTACATCCAACACTTCCGAATTCATCGCCTGCATCAACTCCGTCAGCTCTACCACTAACCCCCTAGTCCACAGCATCATCACCTCTTGCCTGCATGATGCTGACAGACTCCTAACTGATCTCTGCAGATCTGCTCTGTGCCTTTGTTCAGCTCTCTCTCCTGCGTCAGTTCCCCCATACACTCAGATCTTATTCCAAACCTTCTTTCTTTTACTCCCTCCCTCCCTTCCTTCCTTCCTCTTCTCTTTTTTTTTTTTTAGACGGAGTTTCACTCATGTTACCCAGGCTGGAGTGCAATGGCGCGATCTCGGCTCACCGCAACCTCCGCCTCCTGGGTTCAGGCAATTCTCCTGCCTCAGCCTCCTGAGTAGCTGGGATTACAGGCACGCACTACCATGCCCAGCTAATTTTTTGTATTTTTAGTAGAGACGGGGTTTCACCATGTTGACCAGGATGGTCTCGATCTCTTGACCTCGTGATCCACCCGCCTCGGCCTCCCAAAGTGCTGGGATTACAGGCTTGAGCCACCGCGCCCGGCCTTCCTCTTCTCTTTCTTGCACAGGATGTCACTCTGTTATGAAGGATGGAGTGCAGTGGTACAGCTACAGCCTCAACCTCCTGGGCTCAAGCAATTCTCTCACCTCAGCCTCCCAAGTAGCTGAGACTACAGGCACACACCACCACACCCAGCGTACTTTTAAAATTTTTTGTAGAGACAAGGTCCCATCACGTTGCCCAGCCTGGCCTCAAACTCCTGACCTCAAGTAATTCTCCCACCTCAGTCTGCCAAAGTGCTGGGATTACAGGCATGAGCCGCCACACCTGGCCATGTGTGATCTACTCTGAAAGACACTTTGCACCTGGTTAGATACCAAGTAACACACCCAGGGCAGAAATCACACGCATGTGGTATGTGGAGAAAATTCTGAGTGAGTGTAAACCTTCCCCAGCAACAGGTGCAGAGAATATAGAGAAGTCCATCAGAAAGGAGTAGGGCAGGATCTTGCTTATGAAGACCTGAAACAACCACATGTCAGAAGAGCCTTTCCCATGCAGGGAGGATGGAGACTTTCTAGCCACAGCAGGCTTTCTCCAGCATAAGGTCACTCCTAGCACGGGGGAGCCACACAAGAGCGTACCATGTGCAGCAGCCTTTCTTATCATGCAGAGGCATTACCAGTGCAGTGAATTTGGAAATGCCTTCAGCCACAATTACACAGTTGTTCAGCACCAGAGAGTCTGCACTGGGGAAAAGGCCTTATGGGTGTAGAGAATATGGGGAATTCTGTAGACAGGCCTCCACTCCCAATATGCATCTGAGTTCACACTGAAGAAAAGTCTGTGTAGCAAATGAAATGCCTTTAACAGCAAGTGAGATTTGCTCAGCATCAGCAAATCCACATTGGATAAAGGCCTTATGAGTGTACCTCCTAAGAGATGTGAGCTGGGGACCCTGCCTTTCTATCTGGAGCAGTGGTTAAATTTGACAATCACTACTCTGACCTCTTTGAACACCAAAGAGTTCACACCGGAGAAAAACCTTATGAGTACAGCAAATGTGAGAAATTATTCAAAGCTCCAGCCTCAGTAAACAGCTTATGCCCAGCAACTAAAGATCACCAGATCTTGTCTCATCAAGACACTGTCAGCTCACCCACCCAGACATGTAGCCCACCAGAAGAGGTCAATAATTCTGGGCACTGTGAAAAGTGAAAGCATTATATCCAAAGAGGCACCCCAGGATGGAGCAGAAATGAGAAAACAATGAAAACACAATTTTGCGATCACTTCTGCTCATTTCCATGGCCCACTCAAATAGCCCCACATGTAAGAGAAGCTGGGATGTGCTGTCCTCCAGAGGAACCAGAAAGAGATAATAGGACTGATAAGCCCTGACCATTTTCTAGCAAAATCCACTTATTTAGTCATCGGATTTCCATTCCATTATTTATCCTATATATTCTACATTCTCACATGCTTCTTAATATGAGAAGCCAAGGCTGGGCGCGGTGGCTCAAGCCTGTAATCCCAGCACTTTGGGAGGCCGAGGCGGGTGGATCACGAGGTCAAGAGATCGAGACCAACCTGGTCAACATGGTGAAACCCCGTCTCTACTAAAAATACAAAAAATCAGCTGGGCATGGTGGCGTGTGTCTGTAATCCCAGCTACTCAGGAGGCTGAGGCAGGAGAATTGCCTGAACCCAGGAGGCGGAGGTTGCGGTGAGCCGAGATCGTGCCATTGCACTCCAGCCTGGGTAACAAGAGCGAAACTCCGTCTCAAAAAAAAAAAAAAAAAATATGAGAAGCCAAAATCTCCACCCATAATTTTTAATGGCAAAAACCTCAATTACTTTTGCAGCAACCTATAGCATAAAAACATTCATATTCCTTATTAACTTTTACCTATAGGATCTATAGAGATGTTTTCTCATTCCTCATATTGATAATTTGTATATTTTCTAATTCTTGACAAAACTTTGCTAGGTTTATCAATTTCATTGATCTCAAGCTTCTAGTTTCACTGATTTTCTCTAAGTTTTTTCTGCTTATTTCATTGATTTCTATTTTGATCTTTAGTACATCCTTTTTCTGAATCCTTTTGTTTCTTTTCTTTTTCTGATGTCTTAATGTGGAAACTAAGACCCATGATTGAGACCCTTCAGTAGATCTCTAGAAAGTATTCACCTTGCATACTGAAACTTTGTACCCGTTCAATATCTCCCCAGTTCTCCTCCCAGACCTGGTACCCACCATTCTGCTCTCTGCCGCTATGAGCCTGACTGTTTAAGATACCTCATATAAGTGGGATCATATAGTATTTGTTCTTCTGTGACTGGGTCGTTTAAATTAGCATAATGCCCCCTGGGTTCATCCAAATTGTTGCACATGGCAGGATTTCCTCTTTTTTAAAGGCTGAATAATACTTCATTTTATATATATCCAGAGCAAATGTTTTTTAAATTGATCAGGTTTTTGTCCCCTTTGTGCTTTGGTATCATGTCTAAGAATTCTTCACCTCACCCTTGGGCCTGACAATTTCCTCATAATGCTTTTATGGTTTTGAGGTAGGAGGCTAGACTCAACTCCAGAGGTAGGGTCAGACATTAGACCAAACTGAGGACTAGCTAAAACAGGGATGAAGTGTACGTAGCTTTCCATAAAACACACCCACCAGTGTGCCATGTTAGTTTACATTTCCGTGGCAACACCAAATGGGGCAAAGTATTATGTAAAAATTTAAACACTATTCTGAGGCTCCTATTGAATCAGTCAACATATTTTATATTTTGACAAATATCAGAGTCTGCAAAGAAGTATCTCAGTCCCTCCCCCAGCAGTGTATTGTGATGATGTTGCCAATAATACAGAATATTAATAATAACAGCAATAGCTTTTATGTTCTTGTCGGTATGTTCCAGGCCCAGTGCTAAGCAGTTCTTAGTTACTTCCCACCAAACAAGTGGCTTTGTCTCATTTATTTACTGACATTTAAAGAGTCCGGTTCTCAAATGTTTGTAACATCCACTTTTCCTGGACATCTTAAGCAGAATGCAGGGCCCCACCCCCAGGGTACCTGCTCCGGCCTCAGTGGGATCTGGAGTGGGGACTGAGAGCTTGCATTTCAAACAAATTCCCAGGTAATGCTGATGTCATCTGAAAATTACTGATAGGGGAAATTTTAATATTATCATATTAAATAATTACCATCACCTTTCTTAGGAATCTCCATCTCAAGGCTCAGAGAGATGAAGTGCTGGCGCAGGGGTACAGAGGGAGGAAAGTCAAGGTATGGGTCACTTGGTAGCGACCTTTGAGAGTGGGTGATTGCCTCAGGTCATTTCTACGGAAATCTGTGTGCCTCTCCTTTAAGAGGAAAATAAGCCACTCCCTCTCTTGGGAACCTTGAGAAGTAGGGTTTACCGAGAGCAGAAAGTGCGCTCCAGGTACCACCTGGATTCCGTCAAACTACATTACCCAGAAGGCAGTGCTACAAGGGACGGAAGCCGGCGCCAGGCCATAGACGAAGGGCGCAGAGGGGCGTTTCCTGTAGCGGCGTGGGCGGGACTTCCGGCGTCGAGTCTTCAGACCCCGTTCGGTCTTGGCTGCAGTCGTTACCGTCACTACAGCGGCCAGAACGCCGGACAGGGACCACTTTTCCAGGTCGCGTAGAAACGAACAGTGAGAAGGAAAGGACTCACACGCTTTTATATCAGCCGCGATCCCACCCCCACAAGCGTCTGCAAAACGCTTCCTGGGGCCTCGGCGCCAGCCCTGTGTTTCCACGGCGCGCGGAGGCGGCCCCGCGAACCTTGTACGCATTTTACACGGCGGCAGGGACTGATGTCCCTCGCAGCCCAGAGCCGGAGCCAGGGGTCGCCGGCGGACTGGCTTCCTCGCCTCCTCTCAAGACCTCACTCGGCCCCCTGGGCCCATGGCGGCGCCGGCGCCGGCGTTGGTGAGTGGAGGGTTCTGCAGCCCGCGCGAGCTCGGGTCACCGCCCGCACCGTCCCATCCGCTGTAATACGGGGGAATCCTGGGATCTGCGCTTCTCCGTTTTGATGCCCTAGGATCTGGAGATCCCAGAAGAGGGTGGGATGAGGGGGCAGGGCTAATCACTTCCAACCCAGGGGCCTGAATCCAGGACAGGGGTTGTAAGGCGAAGTCCCTGTTTTTGGCTCTAACTTTGAGCTATCGCTTGGCTGCCCTCGACCTCTATTCCCTCAGGTCTAAAATGCGAGTCTCAATAATTTTCTCTATTGAGGGAACTGGAGCGGGTACCCTTGTGACTGACGTGAGTCCTATCCTTCAGTGCTGGGAGAGCATCTCTCTAGGTACCTTTTTTGGGGAGGGACTCCCCAGATCCTGCTGTTGTTTTAGGGGATCACTCCAGGGGGAGTCTGGCCCTACCAAAAGCTAGGAGAGGGAATGAGAGCCTCGAGGGCAAGAGGTGAGGCGGGAGCAGCATTTTTGGCATTGCTGAGTAGAAAGATTATCATTGTCTTGTATCATTTTCCAGTGGCTTCCAACATAGGAGGCTTTTCTCTCCCACATCCTTATATTCTGTCAAAGGCACCATCTGCCTCCACAGAGCTCAGTGGTTCTTAGGAGATGCTCAGTGGTTCAGGGTCTCTGGACCCTTTGCTGATATCCAAGAAATGGGCTCTAATTTCATCTAATAGCTCCACAGCCACCTGTCACCTCTGTTTGGCTTCCCAGGCATTAGTATCATTTGAAGACGTGGTTGTGACCTTCACTGGAGAGGAATGGGGGCACCTGGACCTGGCCCAGAGGACCCTGTACCAGGAGGTGATGCTGGAGACCTGCAGGCTCCTGATCTCACTGGGTAAGACCTCATTACCCTCCCATGTAGGGGACCCACAGCCTGTTTGAATTCATCCTTTCTAGGCATGGCTAGTCCAGAAGCCTGAGGACCCAACCTTCTCTGACCCCTGCAGCCTCAGCATATTGTGGTCCGACCTCCTCTTGCTGGGTTTCCCTGTGTCTCCATCAGAGATTATCGTGTAAGGAACAAGTCCTCCTCAACACTTTTATCCCGGTGTCTAGCACAGCTGGCCTCAGTCTGACATCCTTATCCCAGATTTCCATAAGAGGTAATTGGCCCAGCTTGGTTGAGTCAGATGTCCTCACAGCCCAGTTAGCAGGACCTGTGAATAATGGAAGGTTCTGCAAGGAGCGGTTGATTGACACAGGCACTAAGAACGTGTTTGTTATCAGTGCTGCTGGTATCTTTCTAAGCAACACAGTCTCAGCTGAAAGGTTTCTTTGGCCCCTGGCACCTGTACAGTTAACCCTTATTTCCTAAGGCCTGTGCCTTGCTCCTCTGCTGCTACAGGAGATATATAGAGGCAGCTTAGACACATTATCAAATGGCATGTATATATGCTAAGAAAGCTCTTCTTTTTTTCTTTTCTCTTTCCTGTCTCTTGAATGTTGAGCATTGGCTTAGAGCTGAGTCTTTAACACTCCTGTAGCTGTTGGCTAATTTCTTCCTCAGTAGAAAGAGTAGCCTCAAACTCCCAGCCTTGAGCAGGCAGCATGAACTTACTGGGACCTAATATCATTTTGATTTTGCCCTTTTATTTTTTTGAGACAGAATCTTGCTCTGTCACCCAGGCTGGAGTGCGGTGGTGCAATCTCGGCTCACTGCAACCTCCACCTCCCGGATTCAAGCAATTCTCCTGCCTCAGCCTCCTGAGTAGCTGGGACTACATGCGTGTGCCACCACACCCAGCTAATTTTTTGTATTTTTAGTAGAGACGGGTTTCACCTTGTTAGCCAGGATGGTCTTAATCTCCCGACCTTGTGATCCACCCGCCTCAGCCTGCCAAAGTGCTGGGATTACAGGCGTATGCCACCTTGCACAGCCTGATTTTGCCATTTTTATAGTAACCTGTCACAGCCAGTTAGCTAATATTTGTAAAGTGCTTAGAATAGAACTGGAAACATAGCAAGTGTTCCACATGTGTTTGTTTTATTTAACGTATGAATAAATACCAAATGCTCTCCCACCTAAACCTTTAATGGCCAGTTTTCCCAGAAGTTGGTCTGAGTAGGAATTAATGGAGGCCCAAGGTCTGGCTTCTTCCAGGTGTTCAAATGGTTACCTTCGACAGGGCTCTCCCAGCCCTGCGTCCTCACAAGGAATCAGTCATTAATGAAGTAAACACGGTATTCTTTTATGACAACTGTGATTAGCAGTCAAAAGGAGATGTATGGGGAACAGCATTCCAGGAGGAGGGACCAACACGAGCCATGTCCCTGTGGGAGGAGGCAGGCCTGATTTCCCTTTAACACTGCTCATTACCCAGCTCAGCACCAATGGGAGAACGTTTGCTGGGTGTGTATATGGCATTTTAGTGTGTGTAATCCTATGGTGAACATTTGCTAAGTGACAGCTGGATGCATGCCAGGACAAGATTTTCCAGTTGATGCTTCTGGGTCCCCGCGCCTCAGTCATTGACTTCTCTCCAGAGGCTTCTGTCTTTTAGCCTTCACAGTTGGCAAAATGTGTGTGACTGCATGTGGAAGAAGACCACCTCATGCCAGTTTCACCCTGAAAATAATGTATTACTTCATCTAATGAGAAGCCCTAAGGTGCTGCTGGCTCCTGGTTTGGTCAGTGCCAACCCTGTTCTCTCTGTCTGCTTTTTCTCCTTGGTCGAGGGCCCTGGCCAGTACTCCTGCAGAGCAGCAGGCCTCCACGTTCAGCTTTGGTCCCCGGCCTGCCACACACAACTGATGATCAGTAGATGCCATTCATCAGGCGATTTAGTCCTGTGTTTCTCAACCATCGTGGGCACCAAAATCACCTGGGGAGCTTTAAAAACTGCCAGTACTCAATCCTTCTGCTCAGAGATTTGGTTTAATTTGTTCTGTTTTTGGAACTGGGTGTTGCTAGGTAGTTTTGATGCACAGGGTGGTTGAATCCTACTGACTTAGGTTAATTAGAAAATACTTTTGGTGAGGTACGGGAGGGCCCTTTCTGGGGTTTCACTGCAGTATGTTAAAGTATGTATCCCCTTTACACCTCAGACTTTTCTGTCTTTTCCTATTTACCGTACTCCATTTATTTCTCCATGCACAGGGCATCCTGTTCCCAAACCAGAGCTGATCTACCTGCTGGAACATGGGCAGGAACTGTGGACAGTGAAAAGAGGCCTCTCCCAAAGCACCTGTGCAGGTTGGTGACTGACAGTCTGGCAATGGGTATCAGGGCAGCCTGCAGACCACCTGGACATCACTGTGTCTGTAATGCCATGGGCAGCTTTATTGTGGTCTTAGGCAGTCATGGAGCCCTTGACCCCATGGTCCCCCATCTTCCCACTGCTATCACACACTGCTTGCCTTTATTCAGGTTGGAATATATTAGGTAGGAGACAGACTCTAAGCTTTAATGATTTGCCACTCACTAGCCTCATGACTCTAGAGAAGTTGTGTGATATCACTGTGCCTTTGGTATACAAGTTAGGCTGAGTTAATTACCTCCTCTGAAAAATAAACTAAAAAAATCCTGGTGACTGAAAGATTAAGTTTTGTTTTGTTTTGTTTTTTTCATCCATGCCATAGTCCAGCGTGGGTCAGCAGGAAAGCTCTGTACCCTGTACTTATTTAGGAATCAGGAGCATTCTGTTGTCAGTATGCAGCTTTAAGGTTGCCCTGGCCCAGAGGAATGGGAGAGAATGGCAGTAGTCATTTCCATTTGCACACACACGTCACTTCCATTCACATTTTATTGACAAGAACTGGGTATTAGGCTACATGTTGTATCAGGCTGGGAAATGTGGTTTAGCTTTTTTATGCCTAAGGAGAAGAGCCTATGGGTATAGTGAACACATACTTATCTGATAAACTTAGCCTACATTTGAAAGGTAGTGTTGCTAGTTTCTGCATGATTGGATTGTTTAGGAATGTGATTGCATAACAGGAGACTGCCTAGTACACTGCCTGACCCAGAGTGGCTCAGTGGAAGTTACCTGTTAGTAATCTTCATGTAGTGTTAGTCATAAGGAATAGTGCTTCTGCACTCAGAAGACAGTCCTTTCTTTTCCTGCAGATTACTGTTTCAAATTACACTCTGCATCCCACTATTTTTCACCTTCTCCAGCCCGTCATTTATTGATCCATCCATCCATCCTTTCATTTGTGTATCAGATGCGCAGAAGCACTCCCTATTCCTGTTGTTTTCTGGTCTTCCTGTCTTAGAAAACCTCAAAGTGACAATTGCCTTTGTCAGTCCCACAACAGGGCTGCCAAGGGAAGCCAAAGCCATCAAGCAGGTGGATTTGTGACACTGCAGATTCACCTTTTCGCCCCTCTAGTGTCCTTCTTGCCTGCTCAGCCAGCTTTCACTCCTCTCCCCAATTCCACATCTTCACTTGAATGTCTCAGAAGCACCTCACACTCATCATGCCTCAAAAGGATCGCATAATCTCCCCATTTTCCGCTAATGGCCCTTACAGTGAGTGGAGAAAGCTAAAAACAAACATGGACAACCCCTCAACACCTCCATCTCCCTAATACCCAATATCCAACCATCCCCAAATCTTGACCATTTTACATCACTCATGTCTCCTGAATCCGTCACCTTTACCAGTTCCATCAGCTCCAGCATTAGTACTCTAGGCCAAGTGATTATCATCTCTTGCCTGCATAATGCTAACAGATTCCTCCCTGTTTTCCCCACATGTGTCCTGTACCTTTGGTCAGCCCTGTGTGTAATATCTGTATCCACTTACATGTTCCATGTATTACCACCGCCCTTGCCACTGATGTCAGAGCATCTGACCTACAGCTAGTGCTCGACTTACGACCACGATTGGTTCCGACAGACCAGTCGTAACACGATTTGGTTGTAAGTTGAGTAGGCTATATGTACAGTACTGTGAAATGATGTTATAAAAATCTTTAAGCCATATTTTATCATAATTTTCTTTCATTATTGTTATATACCATAATTTTCTTTGTTCATTTTATGCCATTTGTATCATCTCTACACCATTTTGTTTCTTATTTTTACGTTCGTCAGGTTTAAGTAAAACACTGCATTACCAGTACAACTGGTTTAATATTTGCAAAACATACAAAATTACAAAATACAGGTGCATACAAAAATACAAAATACAGGTGTGAAAAATACCATAGGAAACATTTTCCCAATTGCAAAACATATCAAAATATATAAACATGTACGAAACATTATATTGGCCGCTGGTGCTTGGCCGCGGATTGTTGATGTCGTCATCTGAGGCAGCAGTTGAGGTTACCGGAGTTGGTTTTTTCATAAACATGGTGAGCTTTGTCTGAATTGTATGTTTCTTTTTTGCTTCATAAATTTCACAATACGGACGAAACACATCGTGCGCCATCTGTTCAATCCCTGCAAACCGTTCGATGTTTGGGTGCATTGCTTCGAAATGTATAAGAAGTTTATTCAGTAAAGATAAACCGTCTGATAATCCCTTAGTGGTGAACTTTCTTTCTGGCTCCTCCTCTTCTTTCTCTGCTTCTCTTCTTTCTTCTGCCACTCTTTCTTCTTCCAGTTCGATTAGCTCTTCATTTGTAAGTTCTCCGGATTCTTTGTCTAGCAACTCTTCGACATCTTCCATTTCACACTCCAAAGAAAGGTCTTTAGCAAGTTTTACTATTTTTTCCCGAATCATTTCAAGTTCATGTTCACTGTCAAATCCGTCAAAATCATTAACATAGCGCTTAACACAATTTTTCCAGATGCCATTCACGCACTTTGTCGTCACAGCCTGCCAGGCGGTAGCGATATTCTTGATACACATCAAAATGTTGTAGTGCTTCCAAAAATCTACAACGGAGCAGTCGTGGCTAGCGATTGTGGTTGTAAAGTCGAATGGTCGTAAGTTGCATAGGTCGTAAGTCGCATAGGTCGTAAGTCGATCAATACCTGTACTTTATGAATAAAGGCTACACCCTTGATTTTCTTGCTTTTTGACATTTGCTGATTCATGTGCATCTGTCTCATCCCTGCAGCTTCCTTCTCACTTCCGTGGAAGAGTTTTCTTCCTGGCCATGGCTAATTTCTCCAATAGAATCTAGATCACACCTTCTGCCTTCTCAGGTGTACTAGCCATCTACTGCTATTAAAATGTGACAATATTACCACAAACACTGTAGCTGAAAACATCACTCATTTTGATCTCCCCCTGTGGATTGGGAGTCCAGGCACAGCCTAGCTGGGTCCACACAAGCCTGTCATAGGCAGCTAATAGCTCATCATCACAGTCAGCCCACTTCTTCAAATCAAGCTACTCTGTGAGACGCCAGCAAGACAGATGCTACAGTCTTAAAATATTACGTTTATCATGTACATTCCATCATCTTTGCCATATTCTATTCTTTAGAAGCAAATCGAGGTCCTGCCAACATTCAAATGGGGGAGCTATAAAAGGGTATGAGCACCATGACTTGGGGATCATGAGAAGCCATATATGAATCTCTCTGCTGCATCAGGGAACATGTTTCTTCATTTATTTCCTGCCTCTTCTATATTTTCATCCCCTCTCATCATTAAAATAAATGATGATGTTTTTGATACCTTGGGGAAACTTTTTTTTTTAATGCTCTTACCTCTCCAGCAGCATCTAAATATTGTTGACTCTGTTTCACCTGAACAACCAAGCTTGTTGGAGGAGTCTTCTCATTCTTTGAAGAGACATCTACACAAGACCTTCCTTTATTTATTTTTTCCCTTATTTTTGTACTGAGGGGCAATTTACACATAAGTGTACAAATCATAAAGGTTCATTTCTATAAAATTTTATGTATGTCGGGGCCGGGCGCGGTGGCTCACGCCTGTAATCCCAGCACTTTGGGAGGCCGAGGCGGGTGGATCACGAGGTCAAGAGATCAAGACCATCCTGGTCAACATGGTGAAACCCCGTCTCTACTAAAAATACAAAAAATTAGCTGGGCATGGTGGCGCGTGCCTGTAATCCCAGCTACTCAGGAGGCTGAGGCAGCAGAATTGCCTGAACCCAGGAGGCGGAGGTTGCGGTGAGCCGAGATCGTGCCATTGCACTCCAGCCTGGGTAACATGAGTAAAAGTCCGTCTCAAAAAAAAAAAAAAAGAAAAAGAAAATTTTATGTATGTCCAAATCAGAGAAACCACCTCACAGGTCAAGAAATACAGTGTTTTTACCACCTAATAGGTTCCTTGTGCTCATTCTTTGTCAATATCCTCTTCTACAAAAGTAGCCAGTGTTTAGACTCTATCACCATACATTAGTTTTGAAGGCATGTAAATAGAACCCCCCAGTACATACTCTGCCCTGAGTTCTTTTGATAATCTTTATGACTCAGATTCATTCATGTGGCTGCATATAATTGGAGTTAGTTTATTACCATCATTGAATGAATAGACTACATACACCCATTTTCCTGTTGATGGATATTTGACTTGGTGTCCATTTTTGGAATATTATGAAGACTACTCTTATGAGTATTCTTGATTGTATTTTTTGTTGGATATAAACCCATATTTCTGTTGGGAATATACATACAAGTGGACTGGCCAGATCATGTGTGGGCACATGATTAGCTTTAATCGAAACCACCAGTTTCAGAGTAACTGTACCATTTCATGTTTCTACCAGCCACATATGAAAGTCTTCATTGTTCCACATACACCTAAGCAGTTGTTATCTTTCCCTTTACTCTTTGAGATAGGGTTTCACTTTGTCTCCCAGGCTAGCATGTGGTGGCACAATCTTGGCTCACTGCAGCCTCTACTTCCTGGGTTCCAGTGATTTTCGTGCCTCAGCCTCCTGAGTAACTGGGATTACAGGTACACACCACCACACCTGGCCAAATCTGTGTTTTTAGTAGAGAAGAGGTTTTGCTATGTTGGCCAGGCTGGTAACTCCTGGCCTCAAGTGATCAGCCCACCTCAGCCTCCTAAAGTGCTGGGATTACAGGTGTGAGCCACCATACCTGACCACAAATGAACATTTTACATGCTTTTTCTCCTAACAACTTGTAGGCAGGAACTGAGAGTATCCCAGCCTTTCAGATGAGAAAAGTGAATCTTAGAAAAGTGTGTTAGTCTGCTGTGGCTGCTGTAATAAAATACTATAGACTTTATGGCTTATACAGCAGAAGTGTATTTTCTGTCAGGTCTAGAGGCTGCAAGTCCAAGGTCAGGGTACCAGCATGGCTGGGTTCTGGTAAGGGCTGTCTTCCCAGCTTGCAGATGGCTGCCTTCTCACTTTGTGCTCACATGGCCTTCCCTCCGTGCCTTCACACACAGTGGAAGCTCTCTGGTGTCTCTTGCAAGGGTGCCAATCCTGACAGTTCTCAGCCCTATCCTTATGATCTCACTGCACCTTAATTACTTCTTTTTTTTTTTTTTTTCTTTTTTGAGACAGAGTTTCGCTCTTGTTACCCAGGCTGGAGTGCAATGGCGCGATCTCAGCTCACCGCAACCTCCGCCTCCTGGGTTCAAGCAATTCTCCTGCCCTCAGCCTCCTGAGTAGCTGGGACTACAGGCATGCACCACCATGCCCAGCTAATTTTTGTATTTTTAGTAGAGACGGGGTTTCACCATGTTGACCAGGATGGTCTCAATCTCTTGACCTCGTGATCCACCCGCCTCGGCCTCCCAAAGTGCTGGGATTACAAGTGTGAGCCACCGCGCCCGGCCTCTTAATTACTTTTATAACAGCCCTCCCTTTTAAGGAAACACAAACTTTCAGTCGATAACAAAAATCTAATTTGCCAAGGACATCTAGCTTGGCAGAGGTAGAATCTGTTTTGTTGTTGTCGTTGTTGTTTTGAAACAGAGTCTTGCTGTGTCATCCAGGCTGGAGTGCAGTGGTGCCATCTTGGCTCACTGCAACTTCTGCCTCCCAGTTTCAAGCGATTCTCCTCCCTCAGACTCCCAGGTAGCTGGGATTACAGGCGCACGCCACCATGCCCAGCTAATATTTATATTTTTAGTAGAGATGGGTTTTCACCATGTTGGCTAGTCTTGTCTCGAACTCCTAGCATCAAGTGATCCACCTACTTCGGCCTCCCAAAGTGCTGGGATTACAGGTGTTAGCCACTGCTCCTGGACAGAAGTGGAATTGGAACCCAAGTATTCTGGCTCTGTACCCAGCTCTTAACCATGATGCTCTACTGTGTCTCAACTCAACAGAAACTCTTCCCACATCATCATACTTAATCTTTTATAGCATTTTGCCCACTTGTTTTCTTTTTCCCTCTTCTGATGACCTTCACTTGTCTTTTCACTCTGATCACTTCTTCAACATTGGCTTCAACAGGCATCTCCTCACAGACCTTTCTATTTATACTTCCCCTGGGTGTACTTATTTACGTTTATACTGTCAACTTCAACACAAGTGTGATAGGTCTCATACTATAGACTCAATAGCTAATACACTGTTTGCCAACTTGGTTCCTGGTGCCTTACTAAGCACCGTGTATGTGCTGTTTTACTTCATCCTTACCACAGCCCTTTCAAAGAAAGGGCAATAAAGGCCACAGAAGTAATGTGGAGTATTGATAGAATTTCACACTGAGGTGTTTGTCTTCAGAGACCATGAAGTTAACTATGATCCTCTGCAGGACTCCTTTTTTTTTTTTTTTAATTTTGAGATAGAATCTGGTTCTGTTGCCCAGGCTGGAGGACAGTAGTTTGATCTTGGCCTGCTGCCCTCTGCCTCCTGGATTCAAGGAATTCTCCTGCCTCAGCCTCCCGGGTAGCTCGGATTGCAGCCATGCATCACTATGCCTGGCTGATTTTTGTATTTTTAGTAGAGACAGGGTTTCACCATGTTGGCCGGGCTTGTCTCGATCTCCCAACCTTCAGTGAACTGCCTGTCTTGGCCTTCCAAAGTGCTGAGATTACAGGCATGAGCCACCACTCCCAGCCCCACTCTGACTTATATAATTTTCCCTAGGTGTGCAGAATTAGAAAAATTGTAAATAGTGATTTATGACACACTGTCATCATTAGTCAATGCATGTCCTGGTTTTTTATTTTCTTTCAAATGAACAGCTACAAACCTTTCACCAAGTACAAGAACATTTCCTGCTTCCTACATCTGTTGATGTGTTTCTTTCCTTTCCCTTTCCTATGCTACCTCCCTTGCATACATAGCCACTTGATTTAAGATTTGTTATTCCATTGCTTATTCCGTAGGAAAATTCAGGTTTTTTCCATAAATATAGGCTATTCAGATAGTCTTTTTGCTTGTCAGTTTTGGTAATTTAAAAAATTTAAAATATTTGCCCCCCTTAGCTTTGTCTTCCTGCTACTTTTTAAGATTGTTTCATCTTAAAATGGTAAATTTTATGTTTTATCCCAATAAAGTCAGAAAAATAAATTTAACATATCTACATATCTTTTTATAATGCCATTTAAAACTGATAAACCTCAAAAAAAAATAAAAGGCTGTTACATAGTATTTTCGTGTGTAGATTTTGCTTTTTTTTTGACCATTATAAAAAGTGTATTATGGTTTATATTGTCTTCTGAGGTTTCACTCTTTATTCAACAGTAAGTTGCTAACATTCCTGATGCGTATAGCTATAGTTCACTCATTTTCTTCCCGCTATAATCAATTGTGTGAATATAACACAACGTATTAATCCATTTTCAGAGAGAGCTGGAAAATGTTTGCTTATAGTTTTTTGTTCTCACAAACAGTGCTGCCATAAATTCATATTTATGTGTCCCGAGGCTCATGTGTAGGAGTTTCTCTTAGTAAGGTTCCGTGGACTGGCATTTCTGAATTATAAGGTAAGCGAAAGGAGAATTTTACTAGATGATGCTCTGTTGTTTCCTAAAATGGTTGTACACATTTCACTTCCCTCGTCTTATCTGAACAATTTCATAAAACATCGTCTTTAATACTTGATATTGTTAGGTTCTTTAGTTTTTTCAGCCTAGTGAGTATAAAATGGCATATCTCATTATGGTCCTAATTTGTTTTTCCCCCATTACCAAGAAAGTTGAACACTTCTTATGTTGATTGGTCAATGTATATCTTCTGTGAAATATCGGTGCATAATATGTTCATTTTTCATTTTTGGATAAAGTGAAGTTCCCAACCATAATTGTGCATTTATTTCTCCTTTCATCTGTTTTTGAGGATCATGTATTTTGAGGATCATGTATTTTGAGGCCCTGGTGTTTGGCATTTCCAGATTTAGGATTATTTTGTCTTCATGGTGCCATGGTCTTCTCTTCATCTTGTGATGCCCCTCTTTGTCTCATTTTCTTTGGTCTGTAGTTTGCTATCTGATACTAATATTACCATTTTTGTTTGTCTGCTTTTTTCTTTATCATATTTACTATAGTCAAATTAACTATTCTTTTCATTTATTAATGCTTTACAGCTTGTTTAGGAAATCTTTCTCAAAATATATTCATTTTTATTATATACTAAATGTTTTTAATGTTGGCGTCTGACAGTTAAATCTTAATCAGTCTGGAGGTAATTCTGTATGTGGTATGAGGTAAGAATATTATTTCATTTTTTCTTATGTGGCAAATAATTTTTCTAGATCCATTTACTGAATGGCTCCTCCTTTTCCGGGTGACCTTCTCTGCTGCTTCTGTCATATATCAAAGTTACATATATACATTTCTGAGTTCTCTATTTCATTTTTCCCTTTCACCATTTGTCTTAAATCTGTGCCTAATCACACTGCCTGAATGCATATAATTTCATCATAATATTAATTCCTAATGGCGTAAGTCCCCTGCTTTATTCTTCAGAGTTATCCTGGCCTCTATATCAGCTGACTGATCTCCATCCACAGTCAGCTTATCAATATCTATGAAAAACCCTATTGGGACTTCAGGAAGAATTGACAACTTTATATTCATTAATCTCTTTTCGTATAGATTTTCTTTAATGTGTTAAGTTTTATAATTTTCTTCATGTAGATCTTACCTATTTTCTGTATGTTTTCTTAAACTTTATTCAGACACGGTGAACTCATTATGTTCATCCAGCTGCTTCTCACCCTCCACCCTCCTCACCCACCACCCTCCTCACTTTTACACAAGTGAGAATCCTGAGAATCTGTTTCGCCTCTGTCTGCCTTTCCATCTTCATCTCCATCATTGTCTCATCCCATTCACATTACTCAGCAATCAGCATTCTCTCAAGACTCTCAACCCTTGTACATTCTGTTTTCATCTGCTGAAGTTTCCCTCCAAATTACTCTGTCTGGGAACTCCTACTCTCCATTTGTTTTTCTTGTTTTTTTTTTTTTTTTGAGACAGAGTCTCACTCTGTCGCCCAGGCTGGAGTGCAGTGGCACTATCTCGGCTCACTGCAACCTCTGCCCCCTGGGTTCAAGCAATTCTTCTCCCTCAGCCTCCTGAGTAGCTGGGATTACAGGTGTGTGCCACGACACCCAGCTAATTTTTGTATTTTTTAGTAGGGACGGGGTTTCACCATGCTGGTCAGGCAAGTCTCAAACTCCTGACCTCATGATCCACCCACTTTGGCCTCCGAAAGTGCTGGGATTACAGACGTGGGCCACCATGCCCTGCCCTGCTCTCCTTTTTAAAGAAAGCTCACGTAGCACCTTTTTTTGGTGCTGTGATCTAAGAGATCTACTGATCCCTCTCTGTCTCTCATCTGGGCCATGTTAAGTTTACCTTCCCTGCATTGTCATAGTGCCCCACGAGACTGCCTCTGTCAGAGCACATTTATCACACCCATTGTAATTATTAGTCTGCCCACTCTCCCTCATTTGAAACAGTGAGGAACAGCCTCCATTCCAGATTCTTTGTCCCCTGCCCTTGCTTTTCCTGCTGGGTTTCCTTTGGAAGATGTCAAGAGTCCAAGAATTAGGAAAGAAATTGCAAGCCTGATTTTGAGAGATCTAAAAAATGCAGTAGGTATCAGAGACAGTTTTCATCTTCATTCTTCTGCTAAAGTGGTGATTTTGTTGGTTCTATGTTGACATCACTAATGTTCTTTTATTCTTTAATATTGGATTTCCTTCAGGTGAAAAAGCAAAACCCAAGACTGCAGAACCTACTGCTTCTCAGCTGGCCTTCTCTGAGGAATCCTCTTTCCAGGGACTACTGGCACAGAGATCCTCAAGGAATTCCAGGTTGGGGCAAGCTAGAGATGAGGAAAAGCTTAAAGAAATTCAGGAAGGGAACTTGAGGCCAGGAACAGACCCCCCCAAACAGATATGCCCTGGGAAGTTGAGCTATAAACATGATGATTTGGAGCCAGCTGATAGTCTGGGTTTAAGGGTTTTACAGGAACAAGTCACTCCACAAGATGTTCTCCATGAACATGACACTCAAGGACCAGGAAAAGATCCCATGATTGATGCAAGGAATAACGCTTACACATGCACGGAATGTGGGAAAGGGTTTAGCAAGAAGTGGGCCCTTGTTCGGCATCAGCAGATTCATGCTGGAGTAAAGCCCTATGAGTGCAATGAGTGTGGGAAAGCCTGTCGTTACATGGCCGATGTCATTCGTCATATGAGGCTTCATACTGGGGAAAAACCATATAAGTGTATTGAGTGTGGGAAAGCCTTCAAACGCAGGTTTCACCTCACGGAGCACCAGCGTATTCACACTGGAGATAAGCCCTATGAGTGCAAAGAATGTGGCAAAGCGTTCACCCACCGCTCTTCTTTTATCCAGCATAATATGACTCACACTCAAGAAAAGCCCTTTTTATGCAAAGAATGTGGCAAAGCTTTTTACTATAGCTCTTCATTTGCTCAGCACATGAGGATCCATACTGGAAAGAAGCTCTATGAGTGCAGTGAATGTGGAAAGGCCTTTACACACCGCTCCACATTTATCCAGCACAGCATGACCCACACAGGAGAAAAACCATTTTTATGTAAAGAATGTGGAAAAGCCTTTTGCCTCAATTCATCCTTCACTCAGCACATGAGGATTCACACTGGAGAGAAACCCTATGAATGCAGTGAATGTGGAAAGGCCTTTACTCATCGCTCTACTTTCATCAGGCATAAGAGGACCCATACTGGAGAGAAGCCCTTTGAGTGCAAAGAATGTGGGAAGACCTTTTGTGACAGCTCTTCCCTAATTCAGCACATGAGGATTCACACTGGTGAGAAGCCTTATGAATGCAGTGAATGTGGAAAGGCCTTTACACACCACTCTGTTTTTATTCGACATAACAGGACCCACAGTGGACATAAACCCTTGGAGTGTAAAGAATGTACAAAAGCCTTTTACTATCTCTCTTCCTTCACTCGACACATGAGGATTCACACTGGAGAGAAGCCCTATGTTTGTAGAGAATGTGGAAAGGCTTTTACCCAGCCTGCAAATTTTGTTCGGCATAATAGGATCCACACTGGAGAAAAACCCTTTGAATGCAAAGAATGTGAGAAAGCCTTTTGCAGCAACTTTGCTTTAACTCAGCACATGCGAACTCACACTGGAGAGAAACCCTTTGAATGCAGTGAATGTGGAAAGACCTTCAGCCACAGTTCATCGTTCACTCACCATCGAAAGATTCATACCAGAGTTTAAAAGATACAGGAAGGTCTTTTACAAGTGTGTACATCTTTAGTGAACTCATAGTAGTAACATACCTTTCCTTTTGAATATAACTTGAGGAAAATCTTTTGGCCAGAGAAACATCTTAATATCTGAAAATTCATACGAGAAACATAATTGTCCCTGTGAAATCTTTTTATGGCAGGTAATCACTTGTCATTCAAGGAATTATGTTAAAGACTGATCCAGTTTAGAGCCTTACACTGTACCTGAGAATAATTGAGGGGAGAGACCTGGAAGTTAACGTGCATTTAGGTAAAATGTCAGCAACAGTGTTCCTCTTATTAATACTGCAAATCCATCTCAAGCATATTTTAAAATAATGACAGATGGAGTAAACAATCCAGAAGAGAAAAGAAAAAGAAGTGCAAACTTGTTTTCAGTTTCCCTGTTTATGATAGTTCATTTGGCAGGTTGGGGGATGGAGCAGGGAATGTCTCATCCCCTTTGTGTGTTTTATCATACATATATATATATATACATGCTAAAACACGCGCTTTGAATGAAGAGACCCCCAAAACAGGCTTTGTGTGAGCAACATGGCTGTTTATTCACCTGGGTGCTGGTGGGCTGAGGCCAAAAAGGGCATTAGCGGAAGGGCAGTGGGATAGGAGTTGGTTTTATAGGTTTGGGGTGGGCCGTGGAAAGTTACAGAGTAAGATCAGTTACAGTGGTGGGGGTAGGGGCAAGGAGTATACATTACCATAAGTTCAGCTGCAATGGCGGGTGAGGTAAAAGTAGTTAAGATGGTAGGGTAGGGCGAGGAGTATTCACATTATCATAACAGTTAAGATGGCAGGTTAGGGTGAGAAGTATTTGCATCATCATAATAACAGTTAAGATGGCAGGGTGGGGTAAGCCATCTTAACCAGGAGAAGCTCCACTGGGCTATCAGGGATAATGGTAAATGCAGGCAGGGGTGGGAGGATGATCAGCCAAGGCAGGCAGGACTTCAGACTTTCTGAATCCAGGCTTGTACATGGAGGCCTGACAATATATATGTATATATGTCTCCAGAGCCAGGAGAATTGTGAGGGCAGCTCTGCCAACATTTATTAGAAGTATTTATTGTTCCAAAACTGTCATCTCTACCCTTGAGGGAGTGTAAGTCTTTGTGAGAAATATAAAGGCTTGAGTCATGACATACTTAACGTGTACATGCACACACATACATTTACATATATGCAGTGAATTGTTCTTCATGGTAGTTAGGTTCTATGAATTTTTTGTGCACACTGAAGTAGTGAATGCTGAATGATTATTGCAAGGGAAAATATAGGGTTAGTGTCTGTGAGCCTCTGATCCAAACATTTTTATCAACCAGTCAACATATAACCTTCTATGGTGTTTGTTTGTTTAAAGGCACCTTATCAGTGTTTTGTTTCTTAATTATAATTACAATAGAAGTATAACTCATGATTGAATGTGTCTTATTTTTTTTATTTGAGATGGAGTTTCACTGTTGTTGCCCAGGCTGGAGTGCAATGGTGCAATCTCGGCTCACTGCAACCTCTGCCTCCCAGGTTCAAGCAATTCTCCTGCCTCAGCCTCCCAAGTAGCTGGGATTACAGGCCCCTACCACCACATGTGGCTAATTTTTGTATTTTTAGTAGAGACAGGGTTTCACCATGTTGGCTAGGCCGGTCTCAAACTCCTGACCTGAAGTGATCCACCTGCCTCCACCTCATTCAGTGCTGGGATTACAGGCATGAGCCACCGCACCCAGCCTGAATGAATCTTATTTAACACACATTTTCTCTTTAAGTCACATCACAGCCTTTTTGTATTTAGGGACACTAGACAGCATTTGAACACTGCTTGGGGGCCATTTTACATAGCAAAATTACCCCCAATAAAAACCACAAACATCCAAAAACATGGCACTAAATAGACTGAAAATGATACCACATTATGAATGCTGACACAAGAAAGTAAGCATCACCTTTGATCTCAGCTAGTAACATGCAGGCTTGGTGACTCATTTTTTTCATCACTCTGTACATGTCTGCAAATAACTGCAAAAATGCAAAAACCTCAAAGTATTGATTTTGGAGTTATAGCAAAGAGCTGAAGACCCCATTCTCCCTCACAGTTGCCACCTCTGCTGTAGCTATGGCTGCACCTATACTTGAGCCTCGTGGCTAAGAGCCTAGATGATGGATTGGGATTTCAGATAATTTAGTGTTTACATGACCCATTGGGTGACCTTGGCCATGCCACTTCTCCATGGAGTTGCATTACTCTCTCTAAGAGTAGGAAGGTGGACATTAAAACATTAACACGCTGGGCACGGTGGCTCAAGCCTGTAATCCCAGCACTGTGGGAGGCCGAGGCGGGTGGATCACAAGGTCAAGAGATCAAGACCATCCTGGTCAACATGGTGAAACCCCGTCTCTACTAAAACTACAAAAAATTAGCTGGGCATGGTGGCGCGTGCCTGTAGAACCAGCTACTCAGGAGGCTGAGGCAGGAGAATTGCCTGAACCCAGGACGCGGAGGTTGCGGTGAGCCGAGATTGCGCCGAGCCGAGATTGTGCCATTGCACTCCAGCCTGGGTAACAAGAGCAAATCTCCGTCTCAAAAAAAAAATTAACACATGTGAAAATGAACCAGCAGTATGTTAGGTGACATGCAGACTCAGGAAGCATATAGGAACCCAGAAGAGAGAACCAGATATCCAATACCTCAAGAGTGTCAAAAGCTTGGTCTGTTGGTGAATACAGCTCAGTGCTAATGTGGTTTGACAGAATAGAAATTAATGATGGAGTGGAGTAGCAGGGCCATATGCATAGATAGGGTACCTAAAATTCTGATTTAATTCTAATTGCTATGTCAAGTCATGGGATGGCTTTAGCAGATACACAAAAGACTTTTCCTTTTTTCTAAAAATTTAATAGTTGTATGTTTTACACTTGGGTCAGTTTCTCAACCTTCTAAAGCTGAGGTCATTAATTTGAGACCCTTTTATTCTAATATAGGCCTTTAATACTATAGATTTCACTCCAAATACTGGTTTAGTAGGTTTCCATAAATTTTGACATAATTTTCAATCAGTTCTAATTAATTTCCCTTTCGATTTCTTCTTTGATCTATGAAGTTTGATTATGGTCTGAAAACATACTTTGCATGACCTGAACCCTTTTCTATTTATTGAGGTTTGTTTTATGACCCAGAATGTGGTCTATCTTGGAAGAATGTTCACACATTATTACTGAAAATAATGTGCACTCTGATCTTGTTGGGTAGTGTCCTATAAATGTCAAGTAAGTCAATATGGTTGAGTGTTCCTCATGTCTTGAGTCCTGATTTTCTGCTTGTCCTGTCACTTATGTAGAGAATGGTGTTTTCTTTAAAAAAATAATAATAGGCTGGGCGCGGTGGCTCAAGCCTGTAATCCCAGCACTGTGAGAGGCCGAGGCGGGTGGATCACGAGGTCAAGAGATCGAGACCATCCTGGTCAACATGGTGAAACCCCGTCTGTACTAAAACTACAAAAAATTAGCTGGGCATGGTGGCACATGCCTGTAATCCCAGCGACTCAGGAGGCTGGGGCAGGAGAATTGCCTGAACCCAGGAGACGGAGGAGACGGAGGTTGCGGTGAGCCGAGATCGCGCCATTGCACTCCAGCCTGGGTAACAAGAGCGAAACTCCGTCTCAAAAAAAAAAAAAATAATAATAATAATAATAATAATGTAATTATGGATTTGTCTATTTCTCTTTGCATGTCTGTCATTTTTAAGTTCTTTTATTAGGTACATAAATATTTAGGTAATAGTCTTTGTTCTGAAGTCAACTTTGTGTGATATTAATACAGCCTCTCTAGTGCTCTTTTGCTTACTGTTAGAATGGTGTATCTGTGTCTTTTGATTTTTAAATAATTTTTGTAGTTATATTTAAAATGGTTTTCTTGTAGGAAACATTACTGGATCTTGCATTGTTATCTACTTTGAAAATCTTTGCTAAAGCACATTTAATTTAGTGTGATTATATTGCTGGGTTTCAGTTTATCATTTTGCTATTGGTTTTCTCTTTATTTAATCTGTTCTCTTTGTTTTTTTGCCCTCCCCACTTCTGCCTTTGGATTGAATATTTTGCATGATTCCTGTGTTGTTAGAACTATTTAACTTGTGTGCTCATAGGACTGTCAGTCAGGTGTAGGCACAGGAGGAAACATAGGAGAGGCTTGTAGCAGAACAAAGTTTATTATACTTCCAAGTCCTAGAGAGACAGTCATTGCACACCAAACGAACCAAGGGTGCACAGAGAAAGCTTCCAAGAAGCTGGCTTAACTAAGCTGTTAGGGAGCCAAGAGAGAGAATGAAGATGGGGAAGTGCCTTTTCTGGCAGCCAGGATGGAGTACACACACAGCACGAGAGAACTGTGGCAGGGCCAGCCTAATCAGACTAGTGTAGCTTGCTGGGAGCTCACAGCCTGTTTGTGGGGATATCGAGGCAGCAGGAAAATACAGAGCTTTAAAATTTACATTACAGTTTGTGCTGTGGTGCCATGTTATTATAATAGTAATCAGATGGATAACACTTGCCACCTGGGTTGTGGAGATGTTAAAGTGCCTGGGACAGCATGGCTTAGCCACTGAAGATAAACTTTAATCAAGGTAACAGTTCAGAGGAGTCCTGTTAGGCATATGATGAGGGTTTGGTATCCAATTTGTAACAAGGCATCCCACTTTGTGGAAGAAAGCCAAGAGAATGGGCCAGGCACCTCTGGATTTAAGGGAATCTGTTGGAATATTCGGCTAAGTCATGAAAAACCTTTACCACTTGACCTATTCCTCATAGTTGGCATGTACCTGTCCAGAGATATTCATGTACATACAGTAGGAGGTATCCTGTATAGCACAAACTCCTCTTCCCTGGCTAATAGTCAAGAGCCAGCCTGTTCTCTGTTGCCATTTGAGCTAGAGACTCATGGGCTTATTGTATTGAGGACAGTATTTTGTGCAGCCTTTGAATAGGATCTGAAAGGGCTACCTAATGACACTGCTTGGCAGTTATGCTTTGGACTTATTTGACAAAGGCCGCTGTACCGGTGCCAGCAGTGGTGGCTCCTGTGCCTATGGCAGGTCCTATTAAGATAGGGATAAACAGTGCCCATTTTGCCTTGTGTCTGTGGGTTAATGGAAACAGGGAGGTACCCAGGGACAAAGAACCATGGCAATCCCCAGCATAATCACTGTTTACCAGATTGTATTAGGGAAAACATGCAGGGGGATCAGCAAGGAAAAATATGTAAGGTGCTGTGCC